GCATAATCATAGGCTTTATAGCGTTTTCATAAAAAATCTAATTCGCGCATGAAACCGCCGAATGAAGAATTGAATTTAAAAACAAATGCGAAATCAAACCTGTCCTGTCAGTTACGTAAAGTTAGTTTTGAGTAGCACTGTACTTTGAGAATGTCTGTCACGCTCAGAAGTCGCTAAAAAAATAAATGTGGATAGTACTTTCCGTTGTGACCAGCTATCCGTTTTCCTCGCAAAAGATACAATGTTCGCTAGACCATTATAGACACCTTAAAACCAGCTTGGTTAAGATTGTAAAAGGAAGAGAACAGTGATTCATATCTTCTAGGATCGGAGGTGCACTTGTGCGGAAGCAGCAGCTAGTTTCCTGTTGTGTTGAATCACTTAACAAGATGCGTTCTTTGCACATACTACGAGTTTTACCTTTAATAGGCAAACAATGTCTTTTTCTCTCAGGACAATGCATCTCTAATGCGATGAACCAAGTGAACTTCCTGTCGACATGATTGTTACAATCGTTGATCATTGCTTCTCGTGGTGGTGTTCGCGCGGGCAACAAAGGAAACATTTTTCGTTGGATCGAAATAAGCTTTGCGTTCCATACCTTATTCCTGTTGGCGGCCAAACCCATGTTCCTCAAACTTGTTGGGAATTCTATCAATATTGCAAATTTTTCGTTTTCTTTTAAGGATTTAGCAAGTCGAATATAAAGATAAAGCAGATAAAGTACATCTTCTTCACATTTTTCTTCAACTTGTTGTCGTTATATCATTCTATTATATTATTTTTCAAAAGTATTTTCTAGCACGATACTCTTATGTTACTTACACTATTTCAGCAAACGCTTCTTTTATATACTGGCAGGCCTTTTGTATGTACGCTCTCCTCTTCCTCTTACTTGTTGTTCACTCTGAGTGCAGCAGAAAAGATGTTTCTCTACGGGTAATGTCGTTCAACGTTTGGGCATCCGGCAAAAGTGTTCACAACGGTTTAGAGAAGATTGCTCGACATGTAAAATTTGTGAGGCCGGATATTGTTGCTATGCAGGTGAGTATACTCACAGTGAGAAAGGAAATCAATATATTTTCTTGGCCCTTTGAATAATCTTAGTATCTGATTCTTTAGCTAGTTTGAGACTAATATAGGCAGGAGCAAATTATCGTCCTACTCTCTTTGCTTAATTATAATAACAACAGACAACTATATCATACAAATAGGGGAACCAGTCTAATGTTTAGTTGCCGGATAAGTTGAATACTAAATCTTCTTTCGCTTTTGTGATTACTCGCTTAGTAACCAGAGCCCATATAATTTCAGTCAATCAAAAATTATGAGTATGTGTTTGAAAACCATAGGAAAGCTGCTTCGACCATTCCCATTTCAAAAACCTAGCTATTTCACTCTTACCAAAACTTTACCCGGTGAGGCTGCTTGACGCAGTGAGGATACCAGTCCATTTCGTGTAGAGCTTATTGCAAGTAAACTTACGGATAAGTAGACCATGCATTTGAGACTACAAATTTTCTTGCAAGTGATCCAGTAGGATCAATTGAGTTTGTTGTCTTGAATATCATATCCATTCCGCATGCAGTCCGCAAGAAAGGCGCAATATAAATTTTTTAATGTAGATTAGTGATTTTTGCCATATCATAGTTTAACCACCGTATTTCATAGGGCCTCATAGTGCAAAGACAATTTTTTGTTTTGTAGATGAGATACTGGACATTCTTTGTAAAAAAATTTCCTGCCAAGTTTGACCTATATCTTGTCCAGCAACCGTAGCCTTACAGTCTCCCCGCTGTGCAGAGCAGCTGTCGTACTAATAGTTGTAAGTCAACAAAAGGAATCTAGGGAATTCCAAAAACTGGTTGCCCCAGAGAAAATTGTCGAAGCAGCTGTTTCTTTTCGTCTGAAACTTTCACTTCAATAGTTTTTAAATCAATTGGAACCATATCGGCTTTGCTTCGCAAGCAAACAGTTTTAAAAGGAGAGCTGTTCTTCTTGATAGCGAAAATAATGCCAAATTTTGATTTCTTTGTTTTTCAAAGACTTCAGTAAATTGCACAAACTACATGACATCTAGTTTGTTTAAAATTTGGCACATTCTTCATGTGTTATTGACAAAAACATTAATCTGTTTTTCAGCTGAAGATCGCTCTTATCACATTTGCACTATTACTAATTTACTACTCGTTCCTGTTTAACTCAATTAACAATTTTTCATGTGCAGAAGACTTAACGCTTCCATCTTCTTTTGACGATTTAGTAATTTTCGTAAAATCAAGTAGTGAAAAAGTTATATCTTTCATTTTTATACTATTCATAAGAGCAGCAAGATTCAAAGTGCTCCAAATAAGGAAGAACAGAAAATTGATCAGAATATTTTGATGGGACTCGGATCTTACAATTAAAACACATGCTTACTTCTGCTTTCATCGTACTACCTTTTGTTTTTTTACCAGTTTTTTTTGCGATGAAATTAGAAGGATTTCATTCATAACATTTTGGGTTTTGCTGAGGTTCTGCTTTTGAGCTTATAAACAGTTTCTTCTTCATTTCAATATATTTTCAATTATGCAAACGTTTCATCATGATCGAATCGATGAGTCATGAATCGATCATCACGTAGTATGAATAAAATTTTGTGATTATGCTTGTGATAGCTTCTTATTTTAGCACTA